TGGTACCCCCTGCCTTAATCTAGTACATATGAGTAGATAGTGTTGCCGTGAGGTACACTCGAAAATTTTAAATGTAAGTGCGTCAAATCAAATTTCGAGCCGCTCCGTCTGTCACTTCGTTTGTGCTAGGAGAGCCTTTTGCTGAACAAAATGAAGTGATTTGCTGTGTCTGCAATGTATTTACACTGTACAATTTGAGTTATTCCCCTGCAAACTATTGAAAGATAGCAATGACGTCATTAGTCGACATTCAAACTTGATGTTTACAACCGAGAGTATATTACCATAGAGGTAACTCTAAGACAAGTAGGTCCCGAAGAAACGTGCTCAACTTTTTGGCTCACCTCTGGTACTATCTTCGGTCCCAAGCTTGTCGAATCACCCCTCGAAACATAGGAAAAACCAATAACCCCTCATTTTATCTGTCAAACTTTCATAGCGAATCAAAACAAACATTGCGTAGTACTAGAATTTCGACTAGAATAGGGTACGTTAATCGTTTGCTTGGGACCAATAGGCTACTAAAGTGGTGACAATTAAATTTGCTTCTAAATTTACCAGTAAATAACCGTTTCGGTCTGCAAGGCCAATCATTAAGAATATTTGACTTGTTAACGTCCGTTTCATGCAGTATGCTTTTCAAGCGAATCAAAGTAGACTGTTTCCACCGTTGTTGAATTTCGTCAAACGGATCAAGATTATTTCTTAGCCAGTTTTTGTCTGATGATAGTCCCTCAATTTCTGTATGAATAAAACAATGTTTCACTGATTACATTACAACACTGCTTTCAAACGTCAATGTTGATAGTATCTCGATGAACATTTCAAATGGTCCTATCTGCTTTGATCGATTCTCTTCATCAACTTTCTCTTTTCATAACCACTGTTATGCAAACAGATTTTGCGCTAATTCTACCACATAGTTTGATAAAGGAGGTTCTTATCTCGCGTCCAAAACGTCAAATACAACAGTGAAAGGTTTTGCAGCTGAGTTATTGACGAAAGAGAAAGTCGATGAAGAGAATTGATCAATGCAGATAGGACCTTTTGAAATGTTATCTGTTTGTTTTTAATGAACATCCCAGATATAAAAAAATACCCTCAATTAGGGTGCAGCTAGAGTGGACGTCACGCGCGATGCGTGATAATTTAAGCAAATTGGAATTAATCAATTTGGGAATTGTTTTAATAAAACGACATTTCATACCTAGCTTAGCAACTCACCGTCTGATGAAAGATTGGATACCTTTGCCTTACACTCTTTCCAGTGATCAATAATTGTTGCTCGCCGGCTTATGAGTGATTTGTTGTTTCTGTTGTGGAATCTGTCGTATAATAGTCCTGAAGGGTGCATCTTATTGGCTGTGAAGTCACGCGGGTTCTAGTAGGTTTCCTGAAATAACCGAAATATTAGAATATGTATAACCGTGATAAACAGCTGAAAAATTACAGCTATTTCAGGTGGGAATCGCGCAGCAATCTATTGTGCGAAACGTTCCATGTCAGCAAGGTTGAAGTAATTATCGTTGGAAATATAGTAGTCGACTACAGTATGGGCCAAAAAGCGCTTGTGCTCAACATCTAGCCTGTGATTAGCTTTGTAGTGTTGGGTGACTATTTTCCCTTTTCGTTTCTCTGCAATATGTCGAGAAACAAATTGTTTGTCACAGCTGTAGGGAGCAATTTGCGTTTGAAAGGTCCTGGCTGAGTATTGTAGACGTTTTCCTGTTGAGAACTCGACGGAGTTGGTTCGTTCAGCTGGTTGATGGAAGGTGGTCGAAATAATACGCTTTCATCCCAATGTTCCAGCTTAGAACGTAGCGAATGTTTGTGTCCGGTCCATTTTATTACCGAAAACACATCGTTCAATGCCTTTTCGTCAAGGTCTTTCAAATACGACAAGGTTATTCCGTGGTCTGCAATGTGCATGTTATAAATAGTCAATCGAATAATTGTTTCAACTTACTAATTAGGATGGCATAAACAGTGGGATCCAGATCCCAATCCTCTACCAAAAGATTCCGGAGCTCCGGTATTTCATCTGCCTCTAAGCCCAAAATAAACATCCATTGAATTTATAATACGCTATGTTTATATTTATGTATTCTTACCGTTGATGAGCTCCACATCAGCAATCATATCGTCAATAATTATTTCCACTTTTTCGTCTGCCATTAGCTCCAACTTAAAAAACAACAGCTTCCGCTGATGTGTACTTGTCAACTGCTCTTTTTTTTTCAAAATGGTGGTTATGCAAGAATCTGCAGTTACCATGGTTCGCTATGAAATAGTAATCACTTTATTTTTCCATTGAACATTATTTCTGTTGATATTACTATATGCAGATGGCAACATGGTAAATTTGAAGTTATTATTTTAACCATGAATGTTATTAATGGTACTATGCTCAATTTTAAGGGGAGCATAGTAATTTTGTTGAAATCATAGTCGTTTTGAAATAAATTTTGATAGATTTTACTACACACAAACAACGAAAATTGTATTAATAAAAATAATGCATTTACAAATTAAAAGTTTCTCAAAATTTGTAGATTCAACAGCAAAAAGATTCAAAATAAAAGTTAGCTTTTTTAATTGAAAGTTTTTCTTTTACTTTTGATTCGTGGTTTTAAAAGTACATATTTTTAAAACAAAAGTTGTTAAACTGTCAAAAGTACCCCTCTGCGATGTTTTTCCTGGCTGCACTGACATCTCATATGCCGCCTTTTCTGCTAGTCTGGCCGCTGTGAACATGAAATCCAGCTCTGAAGTTACCACAAGAGTCAGGATTCTTCTGTGGGATACCAGACACTGAAGTTTTCTTAGTTGGATATTCCGACATTATTTGCTGCTATGTAGAGACCCACGTGAAATTGGCATTCCAAATGGTAAGTACACTATTTTCATTGTTATTGTTATTGGATTTTTAGATTCTTTTTTTATCAGACTATGGAATCTACCAGGAAGAAGTCGCGACAGTTTTCGGTATCGACCTTATCAAATTCCTGTTGGAGAAGGATCAAGCCCTACTGGATAATAACGAAAAAGGTAAATTAAACTTTGATCGGGAGAAGGACGAGAACCCGCTGCCCGTAAAACCCGTCACCAGTTGGTACTTTATGAAGCTGCGGCATAGGATTTACAGATTGCGAAATGGTAAACAATATCAAGCTTGCCTTGCCAGTGTCCGGATTTTGTGTTCCTTCACTCGACCTTTACTTGACGGGATGTGAATATGTGTCTCTTCGTGAATCTCATTGCATAACGCTTGTAAAGGAAATGGATAATAAATGTATTTTAATCTTTTTTTCTTATATCTGAAAACCTTAAATTAAATATTATTTAGAATTTAAAATGAATAAAGTTATTACCACAGACAAACAGACATAACATATTGAATATTTCTCACTGTAAAACATCGTCACTAAAACATTACCGCCATCTGTTGAGCACACTGTGGTGGGCAGTACGGCGTAACAGATGGCGGTAGTGTGTAAACGTCAAACGCAAGGGAATTGACTATGCGCGCCACAGCTGGTGGTACTGCCAACTACGATACTTTTAAATTGTCCGTTAAATGCTTGTTCGATGAACAACTTGCGAGTGTTATGTCTGTTTGTCTGTGTTATTACGGTGAAAATGTGTATTTTTTATTTCAAAATGTTACTTATCGTTTTAACTATATCACATTTTCAAACCAAAACTTCGTCTTGAATTGAAAAGAACCTGATTTTAATTCTATCACTGCCGTGTTTTTAATTTGACAGTAATACAATTTATTTTGAAAGCTTTAACTTTTAAAAGTATAGAGCGAACAATTTTTGATTTAACAGTTGGCTGACTTTTGTTTTGAAAGTCAACCGCTTTCTACCAAAAAGAACCAATGCGAACTTTTAATTCTATCAATGATTTTTTTAATTTTAGCAACGATTTTTCTTTGTGTGTATGAACTGCCCTAATAAAAATTGTATGGTTGATTTGCTTAACGACGTGTTCTGGGTATCATCCAAACCATTTATGGAATAGTTCAATGATTTGGGTTATCGTTCGTTTATGGTTATTTTTTATTAGGGTGGCGTGGTATAATTAAACACGTTTCTACACAGCAAAAAAAATGTAATATCGATCAATGGACCGTATGAATAAAAAGAGTTTACTTTACTTTCCCGTGCTTTTCTTACGGGGAAAGTAAAGTAAACGCTTTTATTCATACGACCTAATGTAATTCAAGCTGATGTATGAAATGATGATGTAATAGCAAAAAGCAGATACAATATTACATCAATGGATGTAATTTTGTTCGCAAAATCGATGTACATCGTACAACGTTATATTACACAACTGATGGATTGACCTGGTTGCAGCAGTTTGGATGTAATATTCAACAACTTTTTTTCTGTGTATGGTATGTGGTACTCGAGGTGGTACTACACTATTTTTATCAGTGTAAAATGAGTATTTCGGATTTCCATTGAACCCATGTTCAATTTACTCATTAATGATTATCTTAAAGTTACAGTGTAAAACGGACAGTTTGGCTGTCAAAGATTTGTTAAGTGCTATTTTATCGATGTCAATCATACAAGGTCTGGAACAACAGGCAGCTTGCTAGTGTTAGAAGCAAAAATGTTGTAAACATTGCTGAGCAAGCGAATGCCGATGTCACGGCAGCACAACATTACATACTGCGATTAGCAGACGTGTCGTCACAGAAAACAGCTGTTTCGTGTAAAAAGATAAACATTGCGATGAAATACGACACCACTAGACATTAAATTTATTAAAATTTAATAAATTTAATATTATTTTCACATTTTACTAATACCAATAAGCCGGTTGGGCCAGACCTTGTATAATTGACATCGCTATTTTATAACTGTTTGTTTACCAGTCTATTTTTCCTGTTCGTAAAATTTATAATGCAGTACCTAATTGCATCTATGCTATTGAATTATATTTTTTTTTGTAAAACACTATCCTGTTGGTAAGGTCAATGAAAAATCATAGATGTTTTAAATCTTTGCTACTGTGCTATCTATAGTTGTCGCGCAACGCAACGCTTAACAGCAGATTTTATATTGCTAAGTAGTTGTCTATGAGTTCTACGGGTTCTCTTGGTTCTCCTGTTCGATTCGCAATCAACATTCATCCTCATCCAACCACAGGTGCTAATTGAACACACAATACATACCCAACTGCTTACTCCCAAGCAAAACAAGTTTATCTTTAATGGCTTTCCCATCATCAAATGCGCAAGGTAAGAATTGCTGGGTCCCGTTTAGGTGATCAGTAATGTTACAAATTTAATTTCCATCACACGTAGCTGACGTTACCAAAAAGATTCTGGAAGATATCCAAATCAAAAAGCAACTCTTGCAGAAGGGCGTGAGTCCAGTGACTCCGAATATCAGCACTACTCCAGCTGGTCTCACGATTCCGCAGGTAAGTTACTCTCGAGAACAAACACGTTTTATGTAGCTTTGATGATATCATCCTTTCTCTTAGTATATTCAAGCAACCAGTCAATCTCAGTCTAATCCACCAGCGGATAATTCTATCAACGCAACGACCAAGGCAGTGTGGAATCAAGCTCTCAGTCAGTCGTACGGGTTTTTCATTCCACAAGACTCGCTGTTCGGGAATAGTATTATTCCCGTATTACCCCGATTCGATAACACACCTGCGGCTGGTACTGGCTCAGGAGGTGCCGCTGCATCAAGCGGAAGTAAATAATGGCATGTTTGAAGTTGAAAAAGTTTGAGGAATTTCTGCAAACGGTTGACGGTTTCGAGAATCCTAAAGTAACGTTGGAACAGTACATTACTCCGTCCCACATAGCGAGTCACATGCTGTACACGATTCAGACCAACTATGACGATTTGGAAAACAAATTGGTCCTTGATTTGGGATGCGGGGCTGGTATGTTGAGCGTGGGAGCATCGCTACTCGGTGCTGCACACGTTGTCGGCGTTGAAATCGATTCGGATGCGATTGAGGTGAGTTGATAAAGATTATTTATGTCAATGATAGTTACATACATAGTGATTTTTGTCTGACTAGCAGTAGCGTTCCTGGAAAATATTAATTGATACCAAGGTTGCAAAGACTCATTTCAGCTAAAATAATGTTTTTCGGAATAATAAAACCAAAAGATGGTATGATGGCATGTTTTACTTGTAACTTACAAGAAGAGGTTACAAAGTATGCGTTGGAAACATAAAACCTGTAAATTTTGCTTTCTATGAGCCACAATCAGCGATTTGCTGATCGCTGAGTGAGTGAGTGAGTGAGTGAGTGAGTTTGTGAAAAATCGCTGATTGTGACTCTCATGAAGTGAAATAAACAGGTTTAATAAGTCAAACACATTCTTTGCAACCTCTTCTTGTATCCTACCAATTCAAAATTTGATCATGGCATCTAATTATTTCATAATTTAGAAAAACATTGTTTTAGCTGAAATGAGTCTTTGCAACCTTGATTGATACATTTACTATGATTTCTACTAAATTCCCTGTTACTTTACAAACAGCGTAAATGTAGGCTTCGGCACCCATTGACTGTTTTCGGCAACAAAAATTTATACGGTAATTTAACTGTTTTTTCTCTTTTTTCTGAATGTATTCAACGGATTCCTTAAACTTGCAGCTTCAATCTGATAAGGGTTTTAGGGCTGAGCAAACGCATTTTTACAGTTATTTCTTGAAATGAAACACGCACTACAAAATGCTGCTGATTTCGAGTTGCCGATAATACAGCAGTAGATTAATAAACAGATCAAATGGAAAGATTGCCGAAGAAAAAGAGGCTGCCGACAATAGTTACACTCAGTTTTGAACATTTCTATCAATTAGAATAGATAAAACATCAAGCAGCAGCTGAATGTAAACAACCAAACACGGAAAATGTGTGCTTTATATACATAAAAAGCCCATAGTAGCGCTAGAACATTCTTAGGCTGTTCCAATAGGGGAATTTTCTATTAAATTTTCAAATAACCCTGCTATTCCAGCGTACGAAATCACCTTTTTGCTCGTTCCAAAAATTGGTTGCTCTGTCTTAATAATTTTTTTTTTTCACTCAGTACCAGCCGCAGTACATTTTGTTTGAGCTCACTTTAACATTTCCCAGTGACAGGGAATTTGCGCGTAATTTGCGTTTGGTGTGGACTTTGCTGGACGTTTTAATAGCTCTGTGGCGCGGATTTTACGGAAAGCTTTTCAAATAAAATGAAACCATTGTTATGATTGATTTTTCAACTATCGATTTTATTCAAGTGGACATATCAACTATTAAAAATACGTCGCTCAGCAAGTTTCTGATTCATTTTGTTAATAATAATTACTATACAAATGATTTTATTGTATTTTTATTTCTAGATTCTTATAATTATTAATAATTCTCATCTAATTTACTCAGCTATTTAAAAAAGTGAATTGGTTGCTGGATAAATTCATTGGACTTTAAGTTCAATGAATAGTGAAAAGTGCAACGAATATTCATCCATCTTAATATCCCAAGTAACAAGTTTGGTTTTATGAGGGTTCTGTAGAACATGATTTGGACTTGTAGAATGTTATAAAACCTCTATAAAGCTTACAATGTTACTTGGGATAGGTCATGAGTGGCAATATATTGCGTTAGCGTTAGCGTTGTTATGATATACTTCGTAGATTTGATACTAGCGACACTCACGTCTCTTCTGAAATTCTCAGTTAGACTACTTTCAGGAATAATGCTGGGGAGTAAACATTGGTTCCAATCTAAACAAGAGTAACAGAAGCATGACCGTCGCTATTCCCGGCCACGCCCATCTTTACCATAACTAGGGATAGGGAAGGAAATGTTGATGTAGTACTTACTTAACGAGAGGCCACCGACTTAGCGACACCCTCATAAGTGCTACGGAGTTGGAGGGTTGGGTAGGGTATTCGGTTAGGATTCACCTCAAGTTGGCGATGCAACCAAAAGTATGTATTGTTTATTTGTTGTTTATTTAATCTCTCGATAGCCGGCTATCGAAAGAACACATTCATTTTGTTTAGTGATCATGAATTTTAAGAGTCCTGACGGAGAGGTTGGGATTAAACCCATGATGGTCATGAGTGGCAATATATTGCTTTTCGAAAACTAAACTTTCCTAAAACCTTGAGGAATCCCGGGGTAAGCGGAACTTCAGAAACCAAGACAGGCAACTAACTCCCTGAAACAACCTGTAAAATCTGGAATTTTAAAAGTCCTGGAAAATTCTGGAATCATCAGGGAATTTTGTCGCTAATCAGGTAATTTGGTAAAATAAGTTTATTGGAGTTGTTGAATCTGTTTCTTTTTTTTTCTATTCATAAGGTGCAAAGTTTTGAAAGTCCTTCTAAACTAACTTCTAAACCCTCTTCATAAACCTAAAAAAAAAGTTTTAGTAGATAGCAAGAAGATTGATGAAGATTTTGTTACTGTAAAAAAAGTGGAGAGCGATGCGAGTAGATGGAATTAGATGCAAGAGATGAAAAAAGATTTCTAGTAGATAGATTCGCTGGCGTGAGATTTTTCGACCATCTAAAATTGTGATTTAGATGTGTCGCACCCTAGGTATATTCAGAGTTTGGGGAAAGTTTTTTTTTCATTTCGTTTATTTGGTAGGCTCAAATGTCGTGAAAGCAACTCAACGGAGCTAAGTAACATGTAATACAAACAAAAATTGTATTCAAAATACATATTATTACGAGTTTTTCTTCCTGGGCGGCGACTTAGCGAATCTCGCCCGTGCTCGCCACTTCCGTTTTTGCTACTGTTTCTGAACGTCGGTTTCAGTTGTTTGTTCTCAACTACTCTCCTCGGCCGTCGGGGTAGTCGCGTCCATTTCGACCACCCAAGCAACACATATGTTCTATAACAGTTCATATAACCTTTCTGGTTATATCAGTTACTCAACATAATTCTATGAATTTGTGTTACTTAGGCACATTTTCCTCCAGCACGTGTAACTCTTGTTCACTCTTTGATCAATGCAAGACAGCTTTTATTTATTTCATGCTTTCGTATATAAGGCAATCGACACAAAGGAGAGATCAACGATGCCCTATAGGAGAATACAATCGGTTCGTTAAGCGTTTTCTAAAATAAATTTATCTCTCTCTATCTTTCTCTCTCGAAGATTTTCAAGAGTAACATTGAAGGATTCGAACTAGACAACGTAGATTGTGTGCAGTGGGATGTACTAGGAATGGAGGGGATTGATTTTGACCGCAAGTTCGACACGGTACTTATGAATCCACCATTTGGAACAAAGCAAAACAGTGGTATTGATATGAAATTCCTTCGTATTGGCCTTGCACTTGCTAAACATAGAGTATATTCACTTCACAAAACGTCCACTAGGTAAGTTACCTAAAACAAAAAAAAACAAAGCTTTCCGAAATCTTTTCTAACACTTGTATTATTGTATTTTTAGAGAACACATAAAGAAAAAAGCTATTGAATGGAACGTTAAAGCCAACGTTGTTGCAGAATTGAAATACAACCTTCCTCAGACTTATAAGTTTCACAAACGTTCAAGTGTGGATATCGCTGTAGATTTATGGCGGTTTGAAATGAGTAAATAGCATTGAAAACATTGCAATTATTTTATAATCTTTTTTGCATGCAATTACTAATAAAACAACAAGATTGCTTTGTAATAAAACAAAACATCGTTGATTCTCGAGAAAAAAGGTTGGTCATCCTACGTTCATAAAAGAGAAGAAGCCCTTTCATCACAGTTTAATATACATCTCAAGATTTATTCAAAAACAAGTCCCTGTGCCAACGGTAAATCAGGAGAATGGTTTACAGTGATCGTTGATCGACGAACGTATTGCTTCCAAGCATCGGATCCTGATTCACGACCACCACCGGTATGCTTCTCGCCTCCGAATGCACCTCCGATTTCCGCTCCAGACGGAGACGTGTTGATGTTGACAATTCCACAGTCGGATCCACCCTCACCGATCCACTGTAATTAGATAAAAACATGTTTTAACTTCAATCAGTCTATAGGGTCATGTGGAACATAGTGATAAAGGGGGACTTTAATAACGTAGCACATTTTTATCCAATTTTGAACCATTCGTTCCTCATAGCGTATTGGCCTATATTTTATACACGGCTGTTTATAACTTTTGAAAACCTTCACTCAAAAAATTCCAAACATTTGTAATGACGAATTTCCATGTGAAAGTCCACATGATTTTCATGTCAACACACATAAACACAATCCACTCAGAAGTAGACATGACATTTATGTGTCAAATGAATTGTATGTGTTTTCACACATGGCTTTTATGTGTACATTAATAGCGAATTCGTTTATTATCGGGGTTTTGGAACCAGTTCCAACCCAGTGCGAAAACGAACTTTTTGTCAATGCGAACCTCAACCTGAGCTAGGTTTTAAAAACAAACGAGCAAACTGACGTTTGCCAGAAAACAAGCAGACCCAATCTTGATACCCGATCCAGGTTGGAACTGAATAATAAACGAATTCGCTATAAGGCTCTGAGTCATTTCGTGGATTATTTTAACTTTTGGATAAAATTGGGTAGATGGAAAGTTATCGATTAACCCTGCTATCCGAGCGTGGTTATTTCCGAGTGAACACTTCAGGAAGACTGGAGGAAACTTTCAAAACCTCAGCCAGTGCCGTAAGTGCCAGGGATGGGGTCACGGAACTAAAAATTGCTACATGCCAGCTAAATGCATGAATTGTGGTGATTCCTCTCACACAAAGGACGACTGTCCTATGAAGGAAGATCCTAAGAAATTTATATGTTCAAATTGTGGTAAAAACCACAAATCCAATTTTTTGAATGTAAGACTCGCAAAGCGATCCTTCAATCTTGATCTAAGCGACAGGTAGGAAACGCTCCACGTTTCCGAACAGGTACAAATTACTCTGCTGTTAACAACGGTCAGCGAGGAACAAATTCTACATTCGTACCCGAGGTACAAATATCACCCCTGATTCAAATTTATCATCTATACCTACTCCCCTCGCTGCTAACAATGTTCAGCGAGTTAATGGAGCTACCTATGCTGCTATTGCAGCGGGTAGTAATCAAAAAACTAACCAACGTTCTAACGGAAATTTTGACAATTTTGACTTAGGAAGCATTACTGCCCCTAAAATGGAATTTTTACAGAAATCATTAATTGACATGATTGATGCTATTCAAACTGGAGTAACATGTGCAAACAATTTTGTCATGACTTTAAAATTCAGTAATGGATTTTAAAGCATTAAATATTTTAAATTGGAATGCTCGATCTCTTAAAGATAATGAAGACGAGCTATTTAACTTTTTGAGAGTTCATAACGTGCATATTGACGTTATAACTGAAACGTTCCTTAAACCTGACGCACATTATTTCATTTATAGAAATGATCGTATTGATGGACCCTGTGCAGGCGTTGCCATCATTGTTCATAGATGA